ATCTCCATCTTATTTTTAAAACTAAAGTTCAATAATAGAATAAGCAACTGACTTAATTTGATTTAAAGCTAACCATGTGCAATGGCCTATATTTTAAAAAAGACACTGTGAACAATGGGAATTTTCCCTCTTTTTATTCCACCTTCTATTTCTTCAATTCTTGTTTTTCCTTTTCCATATATCCACATGCTCCTTCCTTACCACTTAAAAGCCCAAGGAATAGATGGAGAAGGCCTGAGGTCTGAAGAACAGTGTTGGAGTAGGATTGTGCTAGGCTTGGCACATGGTCAGAGCAGGAGCAGGGAATGGGCTTAGATGAAAGAATCCATTCCTGAGGTTGTTCCTAATGCAAATTCTGCCATTGGTGTGTGTGAGTTCTGGGTATGTTTCTGCGTCTCTGTGTGTGGAAAGGCTCTGAGCTTGAATTCCTTAGGTGGTGATGCCATCATTATCACTGCTTCAGCCCCAAGAATATTCCATTTTTAACAGAAACAGGCTGCTTTGCTTATAAATTAAGAAATCTGGGATAATGGTAATTATAATTTAGAGCAGTTGAAGAACCATGAGCCACGAGTAATCAGATTATCAGCATTTGTAAGAGTATTAAATGTCATTAAAATGTGTGCCATGTGAATAGGATACACTTTTTTCCATAGCTGTGTCACCTAACTTCTTGTAAATCTCAGTTCCTTGTCTATAAAATTGGAATAATAATTCTCAGCACAGATTTCCATTGGGAAGGATGAAGATTAAATGAGCTTTTAAAATAGTACATTCTCAGCAAATGTTTGTTCCTTTTCCTAGTTCTTTCTGGCTGCTTCCTTTGCTGTTTCCTTCTGCCTCTCATATGTGTTTGTCTATGGACATCAAGTGTATATTTGTAATACTTTCTGCATTCTAAATTCATAAACCAAGGGATTTAAATGCTGTATATTACTGTCAAATTGCCAAAACAATTTATTTTAAGTCATTTTTGAAACATATAATTTTTGGAATCATATCTCCTTGGTTGATTAACCCTTTTTCATTATGCAGTGTCCCTACCTCTCTCTGGGATTTTTTTTTTTTTACTCTAGTATCTGTTTTCTTTGATAATAAGTAAGCCACTTTTGCTTTCTTTTGATTAATTCTTTCATGGTATCTTTTCCCATACTTTTAATCTCAGCTACTTATATCGTTATTTTTTAAGTGAGTTGGTTAAATGACATCATAAAATTAATTATGTTTTTCTTAAATCCTCTCTGCCAATCTCTACTTTAATTGGTCTATTTACATTATTTTTATTTACCATAATTATTGAGATGTTAAACTAAATCTGCCTTTTTATTTTTCTATTGTTTTCTCTCTTCTTTGTTTCTCAGTTTCCTTTCTTCTGCCTTCCTTCAGTAAATTACATTTTTTCAGAATCCCATTAAGATTTATTTTTTTAAAAGAGAGAGAGAGAGAAGAGAGAGAAAGAGAGAAAGAGAGAGAGAGAGAGAGAGAGAGAGAGAGAGAGAAGAGAGTTTTTTAATATTTATTTTTAGTTTTCGGTGGACACAAGATCTTTTTTTATTTTATTTTTATGTGGTGCTGAGGATCGAACCCAGTGCCCCGCACATGCCAGGCGAGGGCGCTACTGCTTGAGCCACATCCCCAGGCCCAAAGATTTATTTTTAATGTTTTTATTTTCATCTTTTTATATAGGTTTTTAGTGTTATGATCTCAGTACTACATTATATACACAAAATTTATCACCATCTTCTGACATCATCATTTTATCAGCCTTAGTTAAGTACAGAAAGCTTTTCTCCTTTTTCTTTCTTTTCATGCACCCATTTATAAATGTCATACATATTTCATCTACATACATGAAATCCCATTAGATAATTTTTAATTACCCTTCAATCATAAAAATTATCAAGAAATTTGAAAAGAAAAAGGGAATTATGCCATATTTACCTATGTTTTTGCTTACAGCATTTGTTCTTCCTTCCTTGGCTCCTTCTTTTTTCTGTTTTGCAAACTTTTGTCCATTTTCAGGATAGATCTGCTGATAAATTCCCCCAATTGTCCTTCATCTGAGAATGTCTTGATTATGCCTTCATTCAGAAAATATTATCACTGGTCATAAAGTTCTGGGTTAACATTTCTTTTTCTTCAACACTTGAAAAATATGCTACTTGCTGCTAGGATCTTATCAGTTTCTGATCAGAAATCTGTCATTCTATTTTTTTTCTTGTAGGTATAGGTAAGGTATTGGTTCTCTTAAGACTGCCTTCCCTTCAAGGGTTTTTCCTTTTTCTTCTTTTTCAGAAGGTTGGTTACAGCACATCTTAGAATGGATTTCTTTTTGTTGATTCTATTTGTGTTTAATCCCCTTTGTGAATTTGTAAGTCATTTCATACAGTTTTGGAAATTTTAGCCATTTTTCTTCAAGTTCTTTACCAATCCTGTTTCTTTTCTCCTTTCCTATTAGGAATCTGTTGGTATCAATGTTAAAGTTTCTGTGATAGTCTTGCAGACACTTCTATTGTTTCATGTTTAAGGTAATATTTTTCCTCTCTTCTCCACCTTGCTATGGAGACCACCCATTGAGTTTTTAGAGCCTTGTTATATTTTTCAATTCTAATATTTTTTGCTGCTTCTTTATTTTATTTTCTTGTTGTTGAGACTTTCTACATATTTGTTGTAATTTTCTTTTTTATCATTTATTTCAAGTATGTTGTAGTTGTACATTGCAACATTTTTTATGATCTATATTTTAAAACCCTTTTCAGCAAGGAGCAGTGGTGCACACCTGTAATCTCAGTGGCTCAGGAGGCTGAGGTAGGAGGATCATGAGTTCAAAGCCAGCCTCAGCAAAAGTGAGGCACTAGCAACTCAGTGAGACCCTGTCTCTAAATAAAATACAAAATAGGACTGGGGATGTGGCTCAGTGGTCAGGTGCCCCTGAGTTCCATCCCCCGCACCCCTCCCAAAATAAATACATAAATATTCTCATTCAAGTTGCTATGTTGGTATGGTTAAGTGGTGTTTCATTAAAAGTTGGACAATATGGGTCTTACCTACATCTTTTGTCTCAGCAGGCTTCCTCTGATATCCCCTTCATGGAAGTTCAACAGAAGTCCAGTTTCTCTATTAGGTCTCTTTTGACTTCCAGGGTGAATCATCTTTGTTAATGCTGGTTAGTGGCAGGAGTTCAGCCTTCTCTCTAAATCTCTGTTGATCCCATCCCAACTGGTTAGAGGAAAACCTCCTAGATAGCACTTGAGGGTAGAAATCATGGCTCCCCAGGTGTTCTCCCTTGGGTGTGGTCTGTTTTTATTGGGGATGAAAGTCCTTGTTGTAGTATGGTCCTTCTCTGGGAATGAGATAGTCTTCTTTTAAAGCCCAGTGAGAGTAGACAACTTGGTTTTCCATTTGCAAGCCCAGACATCTTATTAGCTGCATTGTTATGACAGTTAGCACTCTCCTGCAACAATGACTCTCCCTCCCTACCAACTGATGCTTTTGTAGAAAACTTAATTCCCTCCACCTTCCCAGTCCTTCTGTGGGAGATAGCAGGCAAAACAGGGCCTCTCTGTAGGCAGACTTGAGTTCCTGTCAAAATATGGCATTTTCAAGGAGCATGGTGCAGAAGGATCCCAAGTTTGAGGCCAGCCTGGACAACTAAGTATACCCTGTCTCAAAGTATAAAACGGGCTGGGGATATAGTTCTGTAGTAGAGTGCTTGCCTTAGGATATGTGAAGATCTGGGTTCAATTCCCAATATCACAAACCAAAATGTGGCATTTTCAAGCTGTGTGGCTCTGGGATATTCAAATTTTCTGAGCCTCCATTTTCCAGCTCTAAAGGAGTACAAAGATCAGAGGATTTGCAGAAATGAATGAAAGTAGGCCAGAGTGTATGGCACATCAGGATCTCAATAAATAATAATTTTCTTCCTTCCCCTCCCCTGCAGAAGGAGAGATGCAACTTCTTCAGAGGAAGAAGGATGTACAGATCTCACTAGGCACTCCCAGGGTTAAATCTCATGGTCGTATTTCTTAAAGAGACTCACTTAACATCCTCCACCCATTTTCACTGAAAAACACGCCACAGAGACATGGAGACAACCCAACTTAAGTCACCCTCAGAGAGTGGGAGTCAAAGTAGGGGCTAAGGCAGAGCAGGGAAGACAAAAGAAAGCATAATGCTGGCCCACACAGTCAGCCCACCAGGCACAGTTATGTTCCCAGCAAGGACAACATCATCGCCTTGACAAAGCTGCTCCAGGAGTAACTGGGATGGTGGACTTTCGCAACTCCCACTTTGCCACCCACCCTTCTCCTCTAGCTTCTCAGAGCTGCTGTCGTCATATCAGTGTGGTGACCCCATCCTCAATCCCATAGCTCCCATCCCCCAACTGAGGGGGGATAGAAAGAAAGTGGCAACTAAGTAAAATGAAAACCAGTGCGCGCCATCCTCCCAGTCCCCACCTGCTAGGATTCCTCTGCACCCTCAGTCCCCTGGCCACCAGCAGCCACCACTAGCTTTGACGCGGTAGACTCAGCTATCAAAGGCTTTCCTGAGCTCCAGGTCCTGAAGTTAAACCGGAGACCGGGGAAAGAAAATCACAACAAAACAGCAAGACGCCAAAGACACCTTAAAGTCAACAAGTACTTTTAAATAATGCGTCTGTAAATGCCAACCTTGACCCCCAGCCCAGGAAAAATAAAGCTGTCTTGGGACCAGCCTCTAGTGTCTCCATCTGTGCTTTCTCAGTCACAACTGGCAAGGGCGCTCCCTTCCTTTCTCTCCCTCTGTTTCTACTACTCTCGGTTCCAAATATCCCCAGACCCCGCTCTCCGAACCTCACCTTACCTGTGGCGAATGCGCCCCTTTCCAGATCCCTTCTGCAAGTAGTCCAACAATAGATACTTTCCATAGGTAAAGCCCTCTCCCTTAGCGAGGGATTGGGGCGGGGATAGGGGGATCTCAAGGAGGGTGGAGCAGGGAATGCTGTTCGTGCTACTTACCTAATCTCTTTAATGCTTTCCAATTTGCACATGATTTCTTGTTCATCTGCCATGCTTTTCACTCTCAATTTCACGTCCCGAGAAACCTACAAATACACCAGCCAAGGGATACAATGGATACAATGTAGCCACCTCCTCGGGGCTTGGGGCTCTGAGTCTGTGCGGTAGGGGCTTGGAGAAGGGCTGGGAGCTGTAGTCCGCAGCTCCAGGGCCAGCCAGGCATCCCAGGGGCTTGCAGAACTACAACTCCCAGAAGGCCAAGCGACTAAAGCCTGTTTCTCTTCCTGCAGCCGCACTTTAAATCAGTTTGTCACCGATAATTATGTCAAAGGTTGTGAGAAGTGCAAGAGTATGGGGTTACCCTGTGCGGAAGAATGGGGTTAAAATTACCAAAAGCAACTAGAAAGATGAGAAATACACCCATTCACACCCCCTCGAGGGACTCTCTTGCTTTAGCTATTGGCAAAGGTTACCAGGACTCGCTAATTACTCAAGCCTTGGTCTAGGAGAGAAATCCTGCAGGGGAATTAGAGGTCAAGTGCTTTAGTTGCTGCCAGGAGACTAGTGGCTTTGGTATTCAAATGGAAGTGGATCAGAGGTGGGAAAAGGAGGAACTGAGGAGGGGTTGATACAAAAACTGGGATATATTGGGGTTGGGGAGGGACGTTTTTCCTTGCAGCTGCCAGTTCATTCAATGATTACTGAGCTCAGACTGTCAATTGTAAGTCAATGAAGAATGTACTGAAGGGAGGCACTGGGATAGGCAAATATAAAAGCAGGTCCTTGCCTTTGAGAATCAGGAGAGACTGAAAAGTAACCCATTAATTACAGTACAGTAAGGTATCCTAATATATGGATAGATTGGTGTAAACTTTGAAGAGAAGATGTAAATAAGTCTCAAATGGTAACTAAGAATTTGCCAGACCCTAGAAAGGAATGGGCTTTCCAGGACAAGATTCAACACATAAAGAAAGGACAAGTGGTTCAGGATGTCTGAAGCATAAGGTTCTTACATGGGGTGTGAAGGTGAGAAAGAGAAGTGGGAGACTAGAAGAGAGAGACTGGAGACAGTTTGTGAAATACTTTGAATATCAAACTAAAGAATTCTGACTTAATCCTGTAGGCACACATTCATCCAGTGCACATTTATTAAGTGCTTATTGTGTGCCAAACAATGCAGAATTATATTGAATTTTTTTTTTTTTTTGGTTCTGGGGATTGAACTCAGGTCCTTGTGCATGCTTAGCATTCACTCTAGCATTGAGATACACTCCCAGATTATTCTAAATTAAAATAATTTTTAAAGTACAGCAGTGAAAAGGATGGAGGGTTATCTTAGTGAGTTGACAGTGGAAGCAAGTTGGACAATGATTAGAAGAGTTGAGATCAGGCAAGAGGGAGTTAGTTACTGAAAGAACACAGCCCCAGAGAGCTGAGCTGTGCACAAAAGGTTGTCTTTAATTCACAATTCCAACTAAAGAAACTAGTTGAAACTAAAGGAATTCCAACTCCTTCTCTCTGATTGAGCCTCACCTTTTCTGAGTGTTGTGAGCAAGCTGTCATTAAGAGAGACCAAACACATTTGTATTTTTCCATAGTGTCAGAATTTATTGAATAAAAATTCACAGGCCACACCACTTTCATGGGGTGGCAGTTCTTTAAATATTTGTGGGTAATCTGGTAGTCAAAAGCTGGGCAGATTCAATGTTCTTTTATTCCACTCAAGTCACAAATCACACTTGTTCATGGTGTAGAGCTGTCAAAGTGCAGGAACTCACTCTAGGTTTGTCATGGAAGACAGTTGCATAGTGTAAGCTTGGTGAGTCAGCTTGAGATGTCAAATTGGAGTGGGCTGTGTGTGGTCATCACAAGCATAAGAAACCACAATCAGCTGAATCCTGAGCATGGATTCAGAAGTTTTTCACTGTGACAATTTCCTTGGGCAAGGCTCACCTTGAGGAGTGACCAGGTGATGGAATCAGGGTGCTGCCCAGTGTCTAGTCTCAAGGTGCTCCTCCTTATATGGGCCTTGAGTAAGAGTATTGTTTCATGCAGTAGGCTGGTGTGTTCAAAGACCTAATGGCTCTGGTTTTTCTGATATGAATTTGATATGCCCACCATACACATGTTTCTGATTAATTCAGTAAGTTCACAGGTAGACTTTTTTAAAATATTTTTTTTTACTTGTAGGTGGACACTGTAATGCCAGATTCATGGGACCCCAATAGACCTCCAGGAGCCGAAACCGATGCAATCACACAAGAGTCTTTATTGAAAGCTCGAGCCTGGACTCACAACCATTTCCAATGCAGGGTCCCAGGGATTGAGTCCCGGCCCTTTGTCCAGTGAGATTTTATAGGTTTCTGAGGGTACTCTATGCATCACAACATTACACAGCAAATCATTCCATACCATGGGAAAATCAAACAACAACTCTTAACATTGATTAGCACATTCACTGGCAGGAACAAGTTGGGTAGAGGTGATTGGTTAGTACAGGAGGGGGATTCCTTTGAAACATGGTTTAAGCCATGAGGGGTGTACCTGCTAAACTTCGTGGTTTCCCAACATGTTATCAACCACCATAAACTACTTGGGGGTCATCTGGCATCCTAGGTATTTTCCCTGTATCATGCTGATTGGAGCTGCTATGTGTCCTCACCTAGCCTAACTAAGTCAGAGACACCTGGCGCCACAGATCTCTCCTGTTACTTACTTACAAACAACTCAGCAGGGCGGATATCTGCCTAGAAAGGCTCTGTGGGTTTTTTCCAAGGATAAGGGTCATGCCCCCTTCCTTAGGACAGGCCTTGAGGTAGAAGCTGCTGTTATTTATTTATTTTCAAAAATGGGGTCACATCAGTTTCTCAGATGCAATACTTTTATTTTATTTCATTTATTTTTATATGGTGCTGAGGATCAAACCCAGTGCCTCATACATGCAAGGCAAGCACACTGCCATTGAGCCACAATCCCAACCCCTCACAGGTAGACATTTTTATTACCACAGTTATCAATTTGTGACTTATGGTTGTACTAGGCAGATATTGGTTATTTACTTGTATGAAAAAAAGATGGAGGGTCATTCTACGTTGGCACTTAAATTCAAAATGAAGTCGCTTATGGCAAATTAGTGCTTTATAAAACGAAGTAACATGGGTTTAATAACACAGGAGAACAGCTGTTCTATACATCATGGAGTAATGGATCTCAAGCCATTCTAGATGTCCACATGATTTAAATCTTCTCCAGAGAAGGAGCTGAAGAATTTCTCTTCTCTCTACTGCAGACTTAATAAGTTTCATAACAGGAAATTCTTCCTGGTATGGAGCCTAACATTTTTCTACAAGTTTTGAAGGTCCTTATCCAGATGGCACTTAAGGATCATTTAACTGGTTGCTCACAATACCTGTGGACCTGGATCCATAAATTGGCCCCACAATGTCCTATAATAGAAAAGAAAGAGGAAGAAGTCCATATAAGAGCCTGGCCCATACTGGCTGCTATGCTGAGAACTATATGCTATATGTATAGTTTATCATTTCATCTTCACTGTCACCATGAAGGGGATAAGCAGAAGTTTTTTTTGTTTTTTTTTTTTTTTTTTTTTTTTTTGGTCCTGGGGATTGAACCGAGGCACTTGACCACTGAGCCACATCCCCAGCCCTTTTTGCTTTTAATTTTGAGACAGAGTCTTGCTAAATTGCTCAAAATGACCTTGAACTTGTCATCCTCCTGAGTGCTGGGATTCTAGGCATGCTCTACCAACCTTGGCTGATGCATTCTTTTTAACAAGGTAGAAAATTGACTCTGTTAGGAAAAGAAAATGTGTCAGGGCCACACATTAAGTTATAAAGCAAAGACCTGAGGTCAATTTGAACCAATTACCTGCAGATTAATGAAGGAAATGCATATGAAAACAATATAGAGATCAAAAGTAAAATGAGGTGCTGGATGAACATAAAGTGCTTGAAAAGTGAGTAAACTATTTGGGGGAAAAGTGTACAGTATGTATGGATATGTGTGGGAAGCAGTTTGGGAATGGTCTTTTTCCTACCATCCACTTCCTTTATCAATCTTTACTTTTTGCCATGTCTATGAGTCTGGTAAGGGTCTAGATGTGGTAATATATCTGTTTAAATTAAATATATTATGGGATAACAGTCTGATTTTTCACAGTAATTTGGCAAATATATTTTAAGCCTCACTAAATTCCTATTTCTCACATGAAGAAATTGAGGACAAGAGATGCAAAAGATTTATTCAATGTAACCCACCTTGGCTGACAGAAACAGAACACCTGATTCATGCAATATTCCTATGGCTCCAAACAGCCTATATTAAACTGCTATAGCTCCCATGGATTCTGAATGCCTCTATTATTTCAGCTGGTTGATGTACTCCAATACAAGATGCTCTGAGAGGGCAAATCATACTCTGTGCTTCCAATACAAGGACATTGAAGGGAGATGGCAGTTAGTCTGGGAGAAGAGGCCTGGAACTTGGATGAAGGTCCATGCCATTTGTAACAATATGTCCAATTAAAGAAAAATGATAAGCCTTTTAATTTCTATGGGTTTTCCTTAGCTCTTTGATCTCCTTAGGAAATGTTGTCTCATCCATTCCTTGCTATGTTTGTAAGAAACCAGGCTAGCAATGAGAGGGAGAAAAATGTCATAGGGCATGAGGGGGGAAGTAAGAAACCATAGCCTTCTGCCCCTTCTGAAGCAACATTTGAAACAGTATATCAATGTCAAGCTTGTAGCTTTCCCATACTAAGTGTTCAGTTCTCTATTGATCAGAAATTTGTAATAGATGAAACAATATTTAGGAACTATGCCAGCCATTGAGTTCTAATATATGATTTAATTAGAAAAAACTGATTTGAGGTAGCAGGAATAAAAAAAAACTTAGTTCTTTCAGGGTCAACATCATTGTTACTGCTAAGAAATGAGTAAGGAAGGCAGGTATATTGGCCATAAAATACAAAAAAAAGAAAAAAGAAAAAATGTAAGCCAAACTATTTTGACATGTTTTTACTTTCAGGAAATAGATCAAGATTTAAAAGGGGACACCAGAATGTTTG